AACCCATACGTTTTGCTTTTGTGTGGCTAATTTTGTGCTATGCCAATTTTACAGGAACGGATAAGGTATCTGTCACCCCAAACGGATTTCAGAAAGTGTAAACATTAAAAGGCCTCAGGTAAACTCACTCCCAAGAGTGAAGAAGGTCACTCAGCCGAGTGAACCTACAGCAACGTGATTCTGTAAGTCATTCAAACCCTGACGTCACTCACGCAAGTGGGACAATTCACTCACTTGAGCAAGAACAACTGTACAACACTTTCTGCAAAATCTCACCTTTTTGAACTCTATTTTCCTTATTCTTAAATAAAAGGCACAGTAGGCAAGAAATAATGTCCAAGAAATATTCAAGGACCACCGACAAATCGATCTTGGCCGTCGGATGGGTAGATATGACGTCAACGACTTATTAAGGATAAAATCGGGATTTTATAAATTCAACATATCCCAATAAAAAAAAACCCCATAAGCCTTTGAGGGGAAAAACCCCTGAACAAGAAAACGACGTCGTCCCTTCTCCCTACGATTTTCCCCCCAAAAAAAAAAAGAAAACGTAATCATCACCACAAATACTTCCTCATTAATCAACCTCCACCACCGTCATCACCGATTATTGATTAGGAAATTTCTCATGCTATGTCCTATTCCCCTTACAACTATAATTCGTATGCCCTTAGAATTACGAAATCTGTTTTCCCTAATAATTACAATGCTTACATTGGATTGTTCTCTTCGCCGTCCGGTGGAGGAGATACAATTTGAAAGCTTTGCATTGCCTTTTTCAATCCTACCCGCTTTCAGTCTGATATTTCCACTGTCCATGATGGAGGTGTTCTCAAGCGGAGTAAAAGTAGTAAATAGAGGTGATCAGTATAGACTGACAAGTTTCGGAGGCGTAGGAGATACTGGCATTGTTTATGGGCACTGAGGACCACACTTCTAAGGTATTTGATAGAAAGATTGAATTTTAGCTCGTTGAATATTAGTTTCCTGTAGTTTGTTGAATTTGGGATAACTGTTCCTTCTGCATGATACTTTGTGTTGTAGCCGTGTGGGTTATTTTATGATCGATGTAGAAGGAATAGATAAGCGCTTTACTTGTCTGAGTTTTTTTTGTTCATTGTGACATGATCTCTGATGATATTGACCTCCCAAGCTCCTGCCCGATTCCTCCTTCCTCTCAAATTTGTATTCAATCTCCATTATTTACTTCTCTTTTCTAATCCCTCTTGGACAAATTTAAACATTCTGCTGAATTTTGAACCTTGGATTGACTTTGATTCGTCTGACTAGGTCGCTTTAAAGGTGAGTTTTATCAAACTTTTGTGCCTTTATTCTTCGCCGGAATATTGAATTTTGATTTTCTGGTGTCTGCTGGCAGTGGCTGGTTCTAAATAGCTCTGTTATTAGAGTTTCCATGTGGGTTTTTGAAGGGTAGTGAAAAGTTTGGATTAGTTCTCTATAATTTTCGTTTACTGTAAGGGGTTTTCCTTGATTTTAGAATTTAAGTAAGATGGTTGGATTTATGCTAGAATCGAAAGTAGGCTGCCTTTGCTTCCTTTTGAGTTGGATTAGTCCTGCTAATTCGATCGTGTTTATTATTCTACCTTCAATTATGTATATCTCGTACGTTAGAGCACCTGATGTTAATCTAGCAGCTGGTGTTAGATCCTGAAACCTGGTTACTACCATTTTCTCTCCTTATGTATTTTCCTTCTTTTATTTTCAGTCAAGACAAACAACTGTCAGCGTGGAGGCCATGCTTGATGTTCTGCAACACTCGAAGGAGGGCAAGCTACGAGGTTGATGCTGGTGTTTTCAGTTTTGAATGCATTCTATTTGTCTATCTTAAAAAATTTCTCATTTTAATTTAAATATTAAATTTTTGAAATCTATCTGGTTTTACGTTTGGAATTTACATCCTTCAGACTTGCTAAATGATTGCAATATGTTTTTGACACTAATGTTATTGTTAATATGTTCTAATGTTCTATATTATTTAAAAGAATACATTAAGAAACTGGTTTTTGCAAGTTTATTTTGATTTCCTTGATGCATTCCTTTTATAATATCATTGGACTTGGACTAAAATGGTTTTGAAACCTGAGGTTCAACCACGCATTTCTCTTTTGGGAAACAACATTGTTTGGTCATGGGGTATCTGATGTACCATGCAAGCATCTAAACGTGTAGGCATAGCACAGAATTGGGTTATGGATAAACTTATTCCTGTTCAGACATGGGCTGGATATACTATCAAGTCTCTTTTATATTGTGGCTCAGTGTTCCTATTGTAAGCCCCCTTATTCCAATTAAAGGCATTCCGCAGAACCTTTAAAGATTGTGTTGATCTATGTTACTTACTCGTGTGTGTAATTTGACCAAGTTATTTGCTTGCAAATCTCATATATGGATACACATTAAGTATTGGATAACATACTAGATATGTAATGTTTAAGTGGGAAACAAGGATGTCTTTGCTTTCAGTGCTTTATCATATGTAGCTGAATAAAGTTTCTCAATCTAAATGGGATTTGACGTGTAATTACAATGCTTATGTTGACAGGAAAGAAAGCTGAATAAACAAGATGAAGCTCTTATAAGATCCATACTTAGGGTAAGCCTTATATTTTCCAACTTATCCTTTGTCCTTTGGTTTCAGTTTATTCTGTTTTCTTAAGGTAAAACGTTTTTTTTTATCTAATTCAAACATTTTGATCTCAGCGATCAAGCGAAGGTTATATACGAAGAATTAATGACGAAGACCTAGACGACGATGATGATGAAGAATTAGCATTTGGCATTTCTTCCAAGGGGTATGATTATAAAAAGTACTATGTTATTTTCTTGTCTTTTCCCTTTTAACTTTTAGTTGCGAGAAGTAACATTAATTCTGTGTGTTTAACTAAAGGCGAAAGGGTTGTGGAAAAATTTTTAAAGGGTTGTGAAGGTATATCAGTTTATCATACCTTTTTCTTTTTCTTTTTTTTTGGCTGAAATTCATCATACCTTTTCAAGTTGTATTGGATCTGATATTGAGCGTTTCTCCTATCCCAGTTCTTTCTATTGTCCTTACAAGATTTCTTGTGCTCCTCTACTAAATTAAAATTCAATCATGCATTAATGAATTGATCATTTTTCTTTATTTGTAGCTTTCCCATCTTTAATGATGATGGGAAGGGTGGGAACGACTTTGCTGCTGTTATTGCTACATCATTTGTCGGATCTGGTTTGAATTTGGTGTGGATTCTAATTTGGATCCCGAACTTGTCTCGCTCTTCGAGTTACAATGGAAGAGTTTGGCCAGACAGAGAGTTGGTGCAAAAAAAGTTGCAGAATAGGCTGCGGACAAAGTTGGTGCTCCCCAAAATGGAAATAAAATAATTGATCTAAAAATAAAAGACTGATCAAACAGTATGTGTGTGAATACTGCATCTCAAAGTCTCTTTGAAATTTATTTTTGCCTTCTGTTTATTACTTATTTCCAAAAATAAAAGCCTCATTTTGTGAACATATATAACCCTAATTTTGAGCCAATAGAGTATTTGGATGAAGCCTTAGCTTCAAAATTGAGGACTCCGCTTGGATAACATGTTTCTTAGGTTCATGAATTTGGCTAGCTTATGAGTTTCAAATTAGGCATATATCAAATATGAGTCCTATTAGATGTTCTCCAAACTGGTTGATAAAGCGTGCAACATTAGTATTAACATTCTCTGTCTGCAACTTTAAAGCATAGCTGTAAAAAGCATCATGGAGCACTATGAAATGTCTTTTTAAACTACTTCACGAAGCTGAAAAAAGCATTTTAAATTTATCTTGATTCACTTGATCTACAGTGTATTTGATCTTGTGTATTAGACTACATAGGCTCCCTTCTGGGCACTTTGATGACTGAATTTGCTTCACTACAGCTTGAGAGTAATTTCTAAAATGGAAAGGCTAAACGTGCATATTCATTTGTTATGTAACAGTGCTATTGTGGGAAAATGTTAATATATACCAGCATTCTAACACAACTTTCCTCTTAAGAATATGAGGGCTCTGAAGAAAATGGCTTCTTTGGTGAGGTGAGACTGATTTCCTCTTAACTTTAATTGGGAAGATTTTGCCATCATTAAAAACCTCATCAGCAGGAGTTAAAAGAATGGTTGCGTTCGAATTTGGATGATGATGATTGGAACTGGAGAATCAAGTTTGGGACAACAGAAAAGGCGGTGAGAATTGCTTCATACCGTACGGATGAATCAGAAGGAACAGAACCATCCTTAGGTGGAAAAAGGAGGGAGGGAAGCAAAAGGAGTGTCCCAACTGCAAGAAACCACCGACGGCCTGGGTCAAGGCTCATTGCGATGGTGCGGTATATAATTTTCACAAAAGGCAGCTGCAGGAGTTATCATGAAAAATGACCAAGGAAGATTTTTGAGTGCTGCTTGTATGCCGTTAGGGACATATTCAATTGAAACTGCAGAAATCAGGGCCATTTTGTTGGATATGAAAACTCTAAAAATTAGTGATTCCTAGGTTGCTGGTGGAATTCGATTCGAGTGTGGCTATAGAGCTACTCCAAAAAAGTGAAACAACGCTCCATAGTTTCCGTGGATCTAGACCTTAGGCACATCCACGAACTTTTGTCTTTAAATTAGGAAATTCGCTTCGAACACACTTCTCGAGCTAGCAACATCTGTGCGGATACGCTAGCGAAATCGGCATTAGATATAAATAGACTGTTTGTTTGGGATATATATTTCATGCGTAAAAAAGGCTGTAGCCAGAGTCTTTCCATATCAATGCCAAAGATATTGTTTGATATCAAGTTTCACACCACAGAAGAAACTACTGAATTCCATCGATAGAGTTAAAATAGTGGTGTCGGAGGAATTAAAAAAAATGAAGAGGACTCCTGCTGCAGAGAAGGGAAATGATTGCTCCGGATTGAGGAAGTGTTTGCCTGTAATTACATATCATCCGAGAGGAAGATATTTAGAACCTCATTTTACATGTCTGGCGATGCTCTTCAGTTTCTTTATAGATTGAAAGCCATTTCCTTGTTACATAAATGGGAGGATTTAATTGATCGGTTGGAGTTTCAATTTGGCGAATTCATCGGACAAAAGGTGATTCTCAATGTGTGGGAGGCCTGTGACTCTGTCTCAGAACAAGGTAATGTCCCATCTCAGATTGTTAATCTTGTAGACATTATGGGTTATGATGATGTTTCCTCAGGATTGGATTGTGATTATGCTAGTTTAGATGATATTTCTGAAGAAGTTGATAACGACTTGAGTTTGGTTCATGATATCACTGATAGTAAGGGATACGATTGTGATTGTCATGTGAATGTGGTTGCCCTGTTATCGAATGATCAGAATGGTGATTCTTTTAGTGTATGTGATATTATTGAAGAACCTGTTGATGAGTTGTGTTTGGTGGGTTGTGTAATGACCAAACCTATATATGATCCTGAACCACTGGTTGTAGCTGATGCTGTGATTACTCATGCCACTATCGATCATAATTTTACACTTGTGAGTGATAAAAATGATGAGAATGCACAACTATGGGGTAAAATGATTAGTCCATGGGATATTGCCGGTTTCAATGAAGAATCAATATTTTTTATGGGGGCCAGACCTTTGGTAGTTGAGTTGGATGACAATATGGGATCGAACTGTTGGAAACGAATTTATCCAATTGGGTGGTTTGTTGTTCTGAGTTTTGAGTTGGTGTGTAAAGTCATTGGTCCTGTGTTTGTATATAATGGCTGATGAAAATGCTGTTGAGTTAAATTCCATTCTAGTTGTTAGCCTTTTGAAAGCTGTTCTTGGTACTTTTGTCAAAAAAGGATGGTTGGTTATTATCGAGTTGAGTCCGGTTGCTTATTTGAGAAGCATCGGAAGATGATGGAATATCATTATATCTTGGTTTGAAAGGTGGAACAATGCTATTTAAAATGATAATTTCTATTCGAATGGCTACCTGTTTCAAAGGTGGCACTACTAACTGTCCGAAAGAACCTTGACAGACCAAGTCTCAATCAAAGTATTATTTCAAAGATTGGTCTATGATAGCTACAAGTTTTGAAGGTGGTGCGGTTCTTCAAGCAAGCACTGTTGATGTTATATTGATTTGTGATGAAATGAGTATTGTTTGGAAGATAGCTTGGTGCAGCCATGAAATGGAAGAGCCAACTGGTTGCTGATCTTAATGATTCTGGAGTTTTGCTCACATGATAATTGGTTATGGATTGCCTTGCATTTGGAAACCCTCATCAGTTCCGGAAGGTGGCAAACAAGGTTGTTCCAACTTTATTGTTTTGTGTTTCATTTCATTGTTCCAATGATTTGTATTGCTTGTGGTTGGTATCATTTTAGTTGCTGTTGTAGTTTCATATTGTAATCAATAATTTCTTAAGTCACAGTCTTGAGGACAAGACTGTCGTTAACAGGGAGGGATTGTCATGCCCCCAGGGTTAATTGTTAGATGCTGATAGTGCAGGGACTTGTTTGTAGTTTATAGAGTATGTGGGATTATATATAGTCTACAAGGGTTGTAATAGGATTATCAGAAAATATGTGCATTGAATGGAATAGCTGAAATTCGGTTTTGTTCTTCTTCGTCTTTCCCCCTTTACCTTCTGACCCTAATCTCTTTCTCTTGTTTTCTGTAAATTCCGGTTAGATCCTCCGGTGGCCGGCAAAAGCCTGTTGTCGGATGAGATTAAAAAACAAAAACTTAGACTCTTGCAAAAAGATAAATATTCATATTTAGCATTTTTATGTCAGTAATAATTATGATTAAATTAAAATATAGAGAGAAAAATCCGAAAATTAGAGTTGATAACAACCTAAGTTGGGATATTACAATTTTCTTTTTACACGTTGCTCTGCATAGCAAAAGACATAAAATTCAATTAGTGTACATACCTAACAAAGCAAATTTTGAGTTAATTAAATTGTGTCTATCTTTCTAATTACAATGTGATATGATCATGAATGGGGCATTATGTGTCATACCTAACCATGATGATCATTAAATTGATTGTGATCACATAGCGGGTGAATGGTATGATATTAAGGTAGGCATCAGGGATGATAAAAGATTGAAGCAAAAGAACGGTTTGCATCAAGCCAAATTTAAGTCAATAATGAAGTTTACAAAGTGGCGTCAAATTTCTGGTCGAGATAAAGACATCGACACAAAAGGAGATAGCGAAGCGTAGGGCAGAATGTCGGTCGACGAAAAGGCCGATAGTGCGCGGGCAGATTTGGCCAATTTTCCTAATTCGGTTAGGAAACTGATTTTTCTGTAATTTCATGATTATGGCCGACTCTTTAAGCTTTTTAGAACCTATTCAAATGTTTCAAATAATTGTGACATATGCAATTATTTATTTAATCATTATTTTAGTTACTTTTGGAAGTTTAGGAAACTTTTAGCCCAAGAAATCCAAATAAGAGTTGAAATTGGATTTCTCTTTGTATTGGCCGACCTAGGCAACTCCTTGACCTATAAATGGGGGCCTTGGTTGTGAATTTTACATACAATATGAGGTGACTTCAATTATAAAGAATTTTATTCATAAATTTGTGAGATTTGTCCTTGTTTTCTTATTCTTGCAAGAATAACTTGCTTTTCCAACAAACTAGGGTTTGTTCTTGAAGCATAACTAACCTTGGCCAAGTTTCCTAGTGTTCTTGGTCTGTGGATGCTTTATTTGACATTTTAGTTGATCACACCAAGTCTTTCAACGTTGATCTATAACGTGTGGGGAGTTTTGGGTCGTTTAACTAGGGTTTCAAATCTTAAACACCTTTTCCTTCTTTCCTTCCCTTTCATCATGTTTTTAGCTTGGACTTTTGTTGGTCCAGCTGTTCCTTTTCGTGGTTTGTGTTCTTGCATAGATTTTACTTCGTGGTTATACAAAGATTCAAATATCCGGGCAACTTTTCAAGTCAAGTTTCCGCAATAATCGTTCCTCAGATGAAGATTCATATCAGAAGAAAAGAAATATAATAGATAAAAAGATTACAAAATGAACCAATATAATGAAAATCTAACTCTGATCTAACTTACACTGCAGATCTGACAGTGTATTTTATATGTTTGAATGTCTACAAGACTTAGATATGCTAGATCTTGACCTTCTACCCCATGTTCATCATTTTCTTCTCTTCAATAAGGTACATATCATCCTTGCTTTCATCGTCTGTAAAAGAAACCCACAAAAGAGATTGAAAAATAATAAAAAAACAATCCTAAACTCCCTCACCAAGGGAGAAACTAAACCCTCAAAATAAAGGAGCAAAACTTCCATAAAAGGAAGAACAAAAAAATTACCGCAAGGAAAAACAAACTTATAATACTAAATTTTAAAATTTGGAGCTCCCCCATGCACCATTAACGGAGGATGGGGTGTTTAGCTTATTGTAAAGAGGGATGCATGAACAAGTCTATTCACATGGAAATTTAAATAAATCATGTTTGGATTTTTTTTTTCCTTAAAAAAAAGCCTATCCACATGAAGGTCAAATTTGTAGAATAGAACTCCTACTGACTAAATGTACTTCTACAATTGGTCATTTGTTGGCCATAAACATCCACCAGTTAGATGAATCAATACACAACACATAACACACATATTGTCTTTGATTATTTTTCAGTAATTGTCCCCGATGGCTACACTTCTTGACGCAGTCAAAACTCACAACTCCTTATTGCCCTTCCTGCAACGATCACGTTTTCTGGCTTTCCTCTCAGCAATCGAGATATCGATCCCTTTAGTATAACGTTGCATTTGACTGATTGGAGCCTGCTTCAATAGCAAACTTCGGTCTATTAGTTTCAAATCTTTGTTTGAATCTGTGAACATTTTCCTAGAACAACGGGCACCGTTATTTGATATTATTTTGGCCTGATACATGGACCTAATTTTTGTAAAATATGTAAAAACTAGTTCCCAGTAGTAAATTTAGTTTCATAACTTTTGTGACTATAATATAAAAAATTGGCATACTTCTCGGATAATACGCAGAATAGATTTTTTTTCCCCCAAACAAGAGTTTCTTCTACTTTGTCAAAATAAATTTATGTAACATGTTTAGGGAAAAAAATTTATTGCATATCTCTCATTTATGAAAGATGAATCCATCCTAATTTCTCCATCATTTTTTTGAAAAAAAAAAGGTTTAAGATCCGGTCGAAAGGAATCAATCAAGAACTCAAATCTCCTTCAGAAGAAAACTTTCTTTAGAAAGATTGATAATAATAAAAAAAATTTGGGATTAAATGTTTATTAGTACATCAGGTCCCTACAATAATGGAGAATTCCTCTTTTCGTTTTCTTTCTTTCTTTCTATTTCTATTTCTTTTTTTGTTTTTTTGTTTTGGTTAAGAAAATAATTAGAGTATGTCTAGAGTCCCGTTATACATTTTAACGGAACGCTACCGATTTTTCCCAACCAATCAAAATTGAGGGTGTAAGATGTGATAATGATAAATTTTGATTAATTTTGATTAAAAATTACATCTAAACAAATCCCAAACGAATTTGATTAATTTTGTTGAAAACTTATATTTTCACCTACTAATCAGGTTTTTTTTACCAGAACAATAAAATTATTTAATTATAGGATAAAATTAATAAATAAGAATAATTTTATATGTTTTTAGGATAAGTTATTTTCTTTATCCATAAATGATGAACTCTTTTTAACTGTGCTTGGATTCATCAACCTCGATTCCTTTCTCGGAAGCACGCTCCTCGCCGGACTTGTCGCCGGTGCTCAGGCTACACTTTTTCCCATCTCCTTATACCCTTCAGTCCCGAGTTGCTCTTTCCTTGTTTACCCTCCTTTGCTCCTTCCTTCAGCAAGATGTTGGAGGGATTGATTCTTGGAGGGATTGATTCTTCTTCTTATTCGTATAATGGGATCGGTCCTTTGGTAAAATTTAATTTAATTTCATGAATTTAATAATATTTATTTTGTTAGCCCCAGTTCATGCCAAAATGAAGTAGGCGGCGAAAATGAAGACGATTCTGTCATCGGAGACTATGGACATCCCAGACGGCGTGAAAATCAAAGTTCGAGGTTGAAGGTCCCCAGGGCAAGCTGGTTCACATTTTCAAGCATTTGAAACTTGATTTCCAACTTATCACCGATCCTGAGACCGGCAAGAGGAAACTCCATGGCGACGCGTGGTTCGGTTCTCGCAAGGCCACCGCCGCCATCCGTACCGCTCTCAGCCACGTCAACAATCTCATCACCGGCGTTACCAAGGGCTACCGTTACAAGATGAGGTTTGTCTACGCCCATTTCTCCATCAACGCTTCCATCACCAACTCCAACCACTCCATTAATTGAGATCCGTAACTTCCTTGGCGAGAAGAAGGTGAGGAAGGTTGATATGTTTGAAGGAGTGACTGTTGTGAGATCCGAAAAGGTCAAGGATGAACTGGTATTAGATGGCAATGACATTGAGCTTGTCTCCAGATCTGCTGCTCTGATTAACAAGAAATGTCATGTCATTTCTTGTTAATCAGAAAGTTTCTTGATGTTATTTATGTCAGTGAGAAGGGAAGAATAGCAGAGGAGGAATAGAGTATTCTTCTCTTAATTATTGTCTCATTAAGTTAGACTTGAGACTATCTGGGTTAAAGGGAACTTGAAGTTTTGGGCGTGTTTTTAGATTTTAATGTTGGATTTCTAGTGGATAGAGATTTTATTATGTTGTCTTATGTAAGATGGAATGGTTTTAAGTTTATTTATATAATCAGGTAGATTTTGGATTTTTTTTTATAACACACCACCTTTTTTATCCTAGATTGTTAGTTAGTTAAGTTGATCCTATGATTATTAATTAATTATGTAACTGTCCCGTAACAGGAGTCTATCTGCTCCCAAATAACTATATATGTCTATCTCTGGCATTCCCATGTTTTAAATTTTTATTGGACTTATTTTACGCGACCACTTCACCCCTAGCCAATATAAATTCCCTCGCTAGTTCTTTAGCAGCTTCATTTTCCTTCTGTCTCACTTAATTAATGATAGTATCAAACTCAACAGAGGAGTGATGTGACCATTACCTGAAGATACTATAAAAGCACACAAACATACACCATGAGAAAAACTAACTGGTCCAAAACATTAGTATTCAGAAAACGTGTTTATCACAAAAAAGGGGAAGAAAAAAATCACTGAAACGTTTTTTTTTATTATTGAAAAAGAAAAAGAAAAAGAAAACGTGTGTATCACCAAATATCACATGCGATGCGACAATGCTCTTGGTAGACTACAAACAATTATGGTTATGTTGCCGGAAATTAAAGTATTCAACAGTTAATCATGGTACCAAACTGACTGTAACAAAAGAAACTCCCAATTCCATTGATCTAGGCCTGGTGGTTGTTTTATTAAAAAAATAAAAATAAAAATTGTTTCGTAAGGAAATCAATAAAGACAGACGAAAGGTTATTCTGCTGCTTATCTATATTTCTATATAATATCTCCTCCAGGGTCATGTTTGTGATTTATAAAGCGTTGTACGTCAACTGTAATTTTCATACTTCTATCCACAACTGAGATTCTATTACTTAGATTTTATTTTCTAGCCGAGGATATAACATAAAAATTCCCTTTAAACAAAAATAATTAATATTGAGTGATTATTAGTACAAAATACTTAGATTTTATTTTCTAGCCGAGGAGTAATATTTTATTAACGATTAGTCAAATGTTATAATTATATTTTCAGTGATTAATTTCTTCGAAATGACCAAATAATAATATGGTAGGTAGACAGCAAAATGTCCTGCTTTAATTAGGATTGGATGATTTGAACAAACTTATCAGGAATGCAATATCAAACAAGAAAAAACAACTGAGATTTAATTTCATTAATTAAGGTAACAAGATAAAAGGTCGAACAACAGAAACACTAAAAATAAGCATTAAGGAACATTGTAAACTATTTTGGTGATGATGGATTGAAAGTTTCTTAGGGTGAAGTTTATTGGATGGAGTAATAATAAAAACGATACTAAAAAAATTCAATCAAGCGGATCCCTTGAACTTCTTGGTAATTCCGGCCATGTACTTGCCCTGATGATGAGCAACCCCCAGCTCAAGCTCAGACGGCTGCCTGGATCCATCTCCTCCGGCGAAAGTTCCGGCACCATATGGGCTTCCACCCTTGATCTGATTCAGGTCAAACATCGCCGCCCCAGCGGTGTACCCAATTGGGACAAAAATCATTCCATGATGAGTAAGCTGAGTGATTGCAGTCAATCTGCAAACAATGAAATAATTGCGATAAATTCAATTATCAAACTTCCAAAATCCCCCTAAAAAAAAAAATTGATCTGATTACTGACGGGGTAGTCTCCTGACCGCCTCCCTGAGTGGCGGTAGAATAGAAGAGGCCGGCTGGTTTTCCGGCGAGTTTCTGGGTACCCCACAGCCCACCAGTTGCATCCAGGAAGGATTTGAATTGTCCAGCCATCATCCCGAAACGTGTCGGAAACCCAAAAATGAAACCGTCGGCGTCAGGAAGCTGATCGGGAGTGATAACGGGGACATCACTCTTTGGTGGGGCGTGCATTTTCCCCAGAACTTCTGCTGGAAGTGTTTCCGGCACCTGTCAAATCAATCCACAACAAATCATGACGAAAGACCACGATGAAAAAAGAAACAAGAAAAAAAAAAGCTTTCAGGAAATCAGGGATTTTGCTGTAAGGAATAAAATCAGGGATTTTTCTGAGGAACAAAATCAGGGCAAAATCCCTGAATTTCAAATCAGGAATTTTGGTTTACCTGCCATAAAGTGGCTTCCACTCCTTCAACAGAGTCGGCTCCTTTCTTGATTTCCTTGGCAAGCTTTTCCACGTGTCCATAGGTACTGTAGTAGCTGTAACAGAACAAAATTAAGAGGAAAAAAATCCAATCAGCTAAACAGTACTGGTAAATTCTTTTCATTTCTGATCAGGGAAATAAAGTAAAAAAGCAATGGAATGGAAAAGAAGGGCATTTCAAAAAGGTGGGATTGGAATTATATATATGAACGTACACAATGTAGAGTTTGACGGCCATTTGTATTTCTCTTTTTTGGGCTTTGGATTGAATCACCGAAAAAGGGACTTTCTGATGGCTTTTGAGAGTTGAGAACTGAGAAGAAGTTTGGTGAGTGCAGAAGGGGAGAACACCTGGGTAGTATTTAAAGCGGAGATGATGGCGTTTGACTATTTAATTTGGTTAGTTAGCCTTAATTGCATCTTCTTCTTTTTTTTTTTTGTCTTTTTTTTTACATAGAAAATATTTTACAATAAAAGAGGATCATCACTTGCAACTTAATTACTATATTTCGGGGTCTGACTCCTAAAGTTGGGATTTCAATGAACTGAATTATTATTATTATTATTATTATTATTATTATTGTTGTTGTTGATGACACAACGTTATTATGTTTCGGGTCTCCCATTTCTTTTATTTTTCCTTTCATCTTGAAAAGCAATTCTACAAGTTACGTGAATAAAATTCAAAAAAAAAAAAAAGTTCTATTGTGAATAAGAACAATAACTGCGGGTTAATTCTTGGATTGATGGGAATTCAGTATTCTTAGTCTTATCAAAAAAATATGGGAACTTCCTTTACTAAATTCTGAAGTAATTTTCTGAATTGGTCTTCTAAGTTGTGATTTTGGCAATCGTATTTTCAAAATCTGATTCACCATTTATTTCAGGGATAAAAGACAAGCGTGATTCCGTCAGTTTACAATTATTAGTTTATTAGCATAATTACACGTAACAATATCCATTTAGTGCGGGGAATTACATGCTATATTGTCGTTTTTTTTTATTAGAGTTGATGAGGTCATGCTCAGCATCACTACCTCGTAAGAGTTGATGAGGTCATGCTTGGCATCACTACCTCGTGATATATGTTTGTTTTCAAGATCTTAAAATTTAATATAGTATGTAGTACGTACTTTCGTTAACAAGTTCTGAAAATTAGGTCAAGTAAGAGTTTAATATAAAGTCTAAACTTGATAATGTCATGAAACCCGTCGCAACTCACACACGTTCGTCATTAGCCCACATAACTGACGCATCATGATGAATTTTCTTCTTCTAACTAAGTCTCAAATAATTTCTTTTCAACAAAAAAAAAGGAAAAAAAAAAATCAAAGCCTAAAAATCTTGAAAATGGAAATATTCGTTGAAGAATAACATTGGCCTTTACTCTTTTGTAACTAATCACTTTTTTGACCTGGTGAGCCATGCGGTTTAGGAGAAAGTATATGTTTCTTCTCCATTGTTACATTCGTTATGTTAATTTCTAGCACAAGGCAATGTCTTCTCCATTGTTGCATTTAGTCATATTATCAATGCATCAAATTCATACCCATATTTTGCAATGTAGATTTGTAGTCATTATTAGACTTGATTTTGGATCTTAATAAAAACGTCTGTGTATCAATTCTGAGATCACTTAATAACAAAACATAGTTTATCACTTTTATTTTAAAAAATAAGAATTTTAAAATTCTACTAATGTTAGGACGGATGGATGATGAAATAAGACGATGTAAACAGTGAGATGAGCTGAATTGATGTTTGGTCAACTGGAAATGTGGTTCTTTTCAGTCCCAAAAAAAGTTAATGAAGATTACAGAAAGTTAAATGATACGGCGTCTGCTGAATAGAATCTTTCAAAACCTCGCATTTGATTAGACGTTCCACATAATCATGCCTGGTTTAATATAGCAAAATTTCATAACGAATAATTATCTAATTTCCCAAAAAGAAAAAAGGAAAAAGAGATTAAAGTTCGCCCGCATTAGTCTTTGTAAGTTCATTCCGAGTAGATAACTAAGCATTACGACATAATTACGAATGGATGACAACATCAGCTATTGTGAACGATCTGATCTACAATGGGAACATTCAAGCGTTCGATCTTTTTTCTTTCTTCTAATCTACTATGAGGCAAATATATATACGTAGAAGTGAAAATTTATTCTATGTCCAGGAAAAACGTTAAATATTGAAAATTTACAAATTGTAGTAAAATTTTTAAAAAAACCTTATAATTGTAATGTGAACTAATTTTTTGAAACTGAAGAACTACATTCTTTAGGTATGCTATCCCTGCCATCTAAAGGGATGATTTAGCTTGCACTTCTAGAATCTAAAAAAGGACAGGGGGACCATTTTGGTGTTCCATAACCAAATTTAATCACATCAGTTAATTGTATTAGCTGAAGAAATAAATAACGTTTTCATAAGAAATATATTTTCGTTCATGGTAGGAGAGATTGACAGAAGGAAATAACATAACTGGTATTGCAATAAAATCCTAAACTCTATACCGTAACAATTCTTGGGTAAAATTTTATCGGGAAAAAGAACACAAATATAATTGTTCATAGTTTCTTTTGATACGGTGCTTCCATATTTTGACCACCACTAAGAACTTGCATATTGAGTAATAAGTGAAATTTTATGATACCGACACATACGAGAAATGAAAACCTAAATTAATATTTACCCACTCCGATCCTGAATATAAAGTATTTTGATTTGTCCTAAATTTTATCTAATATGCATTTTTAGTTTTCGAGTTTTGCAAGATCTCAATCAGCATGCATCAGAACTTTCAATTTTTGCCAAAAATGCTTCTTCTCCATGCCTTTATAGATGGTGATGTAATAATGGAATCAGACGGCCCGTTAATGTACAATAATGTGTTCATGGGCTAGGTTCCTCCTGTGGGCCAGCACTAACGTGAGAACGGGCAAAAAGAACAGTTAGGCTGATCATCTAATTATTTCCGGCTTTTTGGTCATGTTTAGTTGTTTACTAAAAGCATAAAAGGTCCGCAGTTCTCCTTCCAGTTTCAAGTTTCCGAACGCGAAACCAGATTCTGTGGACCGAAAAGAATACAAATAGAAGTCAATTAGGTACACTGATTTTGGTCCCTAGCTCTGATTATAGTAATTTTTTTGCTTACAGCGATTATGAGGAGTGTTAGGCGGACACTATATTTCATCTGGATTGATGGCTCTTATCTTTTAATATTATGCTAATTAGTGTTACGCATTTTCTTCAACCACTTTTTTATTATACAAAAACAATCTATTTTCTTAGTATTGTTTTAATCCTATTATCTGTGATTGACTTGTATGGGAGAAAAAACAGATGATCAATATTCAGAACTCACTGTTGCTGACAAATCGGTACCAATGTTTAATTATACTCCCTTGTCAGGAACGAACAAATTCCAGTTCCAATTCTAGTTAGGATTTACAGTTTAATTGGCATGATTCACATATAGAGGGAGGAAACAGAGAAGATCGAAGAATTAGGGTAAGGCAGAGAGAGAGAGAGAGTAAGCAAAACGGGAAACCAAATCTGGTTTTTTCAATATTCTGATAATCGATAATGATTGACATTTGGTCTCCACTATTTATAGTTCTGACTAACTAATCAAGATTTGCAAAACAGCCCCTCTGATACCAGCAATTATTAAACTTATCCGGGGCGTGAGATTCCCTTCCCGTTAAACAAAGTCTTGACCTCAAAACTAGTAAAACGTAACAACGTCACGGAGGGGAACTGATTACAGCTTCAAACTAGTCACAAACTAAGTACGAAACTGGAAGGGCAGTTACATACTTGCAAATGAGTAGCCAGCTAATCCATGAAAACCAACAGCAGCCATAAAAGTGTCAGGAACAAATACTGAAGCATAGAAATTGTTGGTAATTGGTTCCAAGTAGATAATGGAACCAGTACTGTATGCAATCACAAGATGACAACCCCTCAAACTCTTCCACTTCTGCAAATATGATACTGCTTCCCGATTGAACCAAGTAATTATCCAAACAAAATGTATTTCCTTGAGTAACAACACAGCTCGCACACCATATTTCAGTTTATGCATTTCCTGTATAAGATGATGCCTTTCGATAGACGATAGGTCTATAGAATTGGTTTCCAACAACAGCATCATTCCCAGAATGGTTGTTGATGAATGCAAGGTCTTGCAAATTGCAGGGCTTCATGTACACCGCTATACTGCCCAACCAAAGAAGAAATTGGCTTTCTGTAGCAGATACCAACCATAACTTCTGATCAAAATGTACCCAATCAGCATTAACAGCAACCAGCTCAACCGTTTTTGCAGCAACCTCAGAGTTAAATCCCACAGACACTTGGTTAACCATAGTAACTTCATGTTTATCATTCAAGCTGGCCATATTAACACACAGAGGATCATTCAGTTCCGCACAAACATCAAACGCTACACATAGAGAAACCATTTCATACACAGTACCACGCTAAAACCCAGTAGCCACCTCGGACCAGGACTTATGTATTCTAGCATCATCCCCAAGTCTGGCTATGGCTAACTTATCATTATACTTACTTATCCATAGAACTAGGTGCCTGCCTATACCAAAATCAGCAGCTGGCCAGTAAAAGGCATCTAAAAAAACCTGGTACCTTAGACAATCAGACACATCATCAATAAGTGTTTGACATTTGAATGGTGTTGATTCATGTTTACGCACCCTGTGATGATCACTGGATCTTTCCGGAGGAAGAGAAATAGGTTCCTCAAACACCTGTTTGTATTGCTCTAACATGACCAAAACAGTGGATGGAATCTCCTCCTCCACCTTTTGAGAACCTACATCAGAGCTGTCAAACTGATAATCCTTCCTGGTTCTTTCTGAGTTGGCACTGCTTATAACATATTGGATTTCATCTTCTGTTGCTACTGAATAACCTTGTAGTAAAAACCTTATGTTACCTCTGGTCAGCTCAATCCTGCACTTGTCATAATCTAACAAAACAGGGTTGAAATGCGACAGCAAATCAGCTCCCAAAACAAGGTCCCAATTGCCAAGATTCATACTGAAAGCGATGCTTTTGTATACACCACTTGACTGCCGGGCAAACCACATTGTTTTTATTTGATGGCCATCGACAACTTTCACAAAATAAGGTTTCACCACCTTCCTGGTTAGCCCCAATCTTATTGCCAACTGAGCATCCAAAAAACTCCTGCAGCTCCTGTATCCACCAAAATTCTCACCACTACACCATTAACAACCCCTTGAATCACAATCAATCTTCTAGGTTCATCTTCCCCAGGTGCCTCTAGTACCATACATTCCTCCCAGCAAGTAATAGCACACAATTCCAGGGACTTCCCATTTACCTCTAGTTCATCTCTCATCCAATTTATCTTTTCCAAATCCAAATTATCATCCACAATAATCATATTCAAATGTTCCCACTTACAAACGTGACCATGACCCCAAGGTTCATTGCACTTCTAACATAGGTTATTGGCTTTTCTAAACTGTTTTTCCTGAGGTGACAGTCATTTATACATCTCGTTTCCTCCTTTAGAAGTCCCCTGAATTGCCATCTTTCCCCCAATATTCACACTTCTATCTGGAGCTGAGACTGTTATTCTCGGTTTTGGAGTGAAGGCCATTTTTTGTTCCTGTGGCTTAGCAGCTTGAAAGGCTCTCGACACTGTGTGAGGCTCCATAAATCTCACAAATGGCTTAATCTCCTCTTTCAATCCACTCACAAAGCTAGATACAAAATACATCTCACTCAGATGAGGATCAACACAAAGCAACTGTGACTTCAATTCTTCAAATTGATCATAATATTCCGTGACCGTCCCGGACTGAGTCAACTTATTAAATTCTTCAATAGGTTCTAAACTATCCAGATCCTTAAATATCTTTAACCACTCTAACTCAAACTGATTCCAAGTGGCATGTGGATTACACTTCCTAAAACTTTGGAACCGCAGGTTAGCCTTCCCATCCAAATAAAATTCTGTAGATTCCACTTTCTTCTCATCATTCATACGATACAACCTAAAATATTTCTGACATTTCCTTAGCCAACTTCTAGCATTAACACCATCAAATACTACTAATTCAACTTTAGGCTTATGTTTCCAGTCCTTTTTGTTCATCCTCAATCCACCATAATCAATTTCATCATCATCAGTCAGAATTCCAGTCCTCTGTCTAAATTGATGAAACTTAAATTCAACAGCATCTTCATTATTACAGGATTTAAGACCTGATACAGAAGCAATAGAAGGAGAGTGAATCTGTTTACCCACACAACTGGAGTAATCCTTCCTTGCCTCAGACTTCTGATCGCTCACAGGAAGTCGAGCCTCAATTGCCGTAAATCTATCCTTCACCACCTCCTCAATCATTGATATGCTTAAAATTTACTTATTTTTAATATCCTTTTATGCGAGATTTTACTACTATTTTGAATATATTTATGTTATTTATGTGATTTAATCTTTAATTGTAGGAATTGTACTCAACTGGAGGAATTGTTGAAATTTTGGGCTAGAATAAAGATAAAGCAACTCAAAGGGGAGAATTGAAGATTTGATCAATTAATAAGGAAGAAATTGAAATACTCAAAGACTTGGAGGACTAAACAAGTAATTTTAGAATTTTGTTTATGGAATTGGCCGAATTAAGCTTCTGTTGTTTCTGGCTGTGGAGGGTGTTTCCAAATTAATTTTTTGGAAATATGGTTTTGTCGAAAGCCTATAAAAGTAAGATTAGGATTTTATTTGGAAAACGGAACTTAACCGAAAACCCAGGCCTCGAGGCTGTAACTTCTCACCGCAGCAGCTTCACCTCACGACAGCATCAACCGACGGCAGCCTTTGCACCTTCTCTTGGCCACCTGTGAAGCTCTCAGCTCCATCACACAAAATCCACGCAGCAAACACCCTTCTCTTTCACCATCATCACCTTAATCATCATCATCATCCCATCACCTCCGCGCACCATTATCATCATCATCACCGAAGCCAGCAGCCCCCTCTTTCATATCACCACGGAACCTGCACATAACCCCAGCCAACCTAGAAGCTTCCAGCCGTTGCTACTTCACTCCTGTACCATCGAAGTTGATTCCAAGCAGCTAGCACCCCAAGTCCTTAACGCGCGCAGCAACTGAAAAGGGGAAGCAGCAACCTTGCGCACCATCATCATCTTTAGATCTTAAGCAAGTAGCTGCAATAGAAATCAACCTCGGGAGAGCGGGCGTGGTCTTCATGGCTGGAAGTTTTGTTGCTTCCGTTTGGCCCCGGGTTTCATATTTTTAGTTTTATTTCTATTTCAGAATATTTTGACAATGAGCATTATTAATTACATATTGTTTTTAATAATGTTTAGTGACTAATTCTTTTTAACATAGGGCTTGGACGTAGCCACGAAATTATTTGATTTATTTTGATTCACTATATTTTGTTTTTTCGTTATTAATAACCATTTGATATTCTTGATTTAATTCAAGTAGCTGGCCATTACTTGAATGTTTAGAGGTGTTTAACTGAAGGAACGACAGTTGAAGGTTAACAGTAGTCCGTAGGAATATTGAACTTAGGGAGTGAGCCACGACAGTAGGAGCATTACCTTTGCAACTAGTAATTCTTAAGATCTTAATGTGCTTTAGTTATATCTTATAGTCACGATAGTAGTCATAGGCTTAATTAGAGTAAGAGAATTATATCACGGTGGTGAATATTCTTAAAAAGGTAAATAGTTGTGAGATTAATAAAAATCCAAAGCCAAATAATCATGAATTAGAATTGAGCCAAGTATTCGGTAGGTGAACCCAATGTCCTAGGTTTTCTTTGTTTGATTATCTGAATTAATATTATTTGCTTTTATCTTATTTATTTATTTTAGTTTTAAATTTTATAAATTTGAGATTGTCGTTAATCTAAATAATAGTAAGAAGTGATTTATAACTGGTATATAGTTTTCCTTCTCTGTGGGACGATCCTGCTTGCTACTCTGCTATTGTCGTTAGTGTTGAGTAGGTTAAATTGTATTTGATTAGCTTGACGACGGCTTGTCAATTATCGAAGGCAGATTCATGTTGATTTTGGCAAATTCTTCATTGATCGACTGAGTTAACTGCTCAGAAATCGTCCTTGTCAAATGCTCAGTCAATGTCTTAATCATCGACCTCAGATGCCTGAATAGTAGAGCGATTGGGCGCCTTTCCGCACAACTCCAAGGAACTTGCAGCTCTGGATACCAATTGTCAAAAACGGACAAATTCCAATTCCAATTCTAGCTAGGATTTACAGTTTGATTGGCGTGAACCACAGATGGAGAGACTAACTAATCAAGATTTGCAAAATAGCCCTTCTACTACCAACAATTACTAAACTTACCTGGGGCATGACATCCCTTACATTCTGAATTATCTTGTTAAAAAATTATAATAACCTTATTAATTCTCAATACAGTTGTACTCCCACCAATAAATTGTTTCTAATTCTAAAATTTTACATTAAACATAACTACCAATGTAAAGGTAATATTGAGAAAAATTTACAAAATATGTCTATTTGTGAGAATGAAATCTATTTTAGAATATTTAGTTTTTTCTTTAGTGACATCTATTTCAAAACGGAGGAGGAAGTGTTATTAACATTCATAACATCATCGCAACTTTGTTCAACTTTAACTGATGTTATATTCTACAATTCTTCTATAGATTGTTCTATCGAAGCAAGGGAAAAGTTGGGAGTTACACATTCCAGTTTCCACACAAGATAGAATATTAATTTATTCGTTTGTATCTCTTCCTCTAAAAATATATATGTACACTCTCCTTTTTTTTAAAAAAAATGAAATTATATTATACTATTTTACTAGAAATTGTCCAGCAACGATTGATAATGAAAGATACAGTCGAAATAAGAACACAACTTACAACTAAACTTAATACTATTTTTGTGTTTTTCATGAATAAACCTATCTAGATATATCCAATACAATGATGGATATATCACGTGCTAGATAATCAATCTGATCAAGAGCATATCTCTAATTATCTGATAAAAGCCCCAAATCATAGATCTATCAAATACATCTATGTTGACTGAATCTTCTTCAATCGTACAGTGTGAAGCAACGAACGAAACTACGGACATCGCAACAACAGTATGGAGGACACCACGAACACTATGAACACATTGCAAAAAAAAATCCTACCCTCTCAATAGATTACAATTAATCTAGTGAAGGAACTATATTTTGGAGACAAATCTCACTTATTAAATGATAAAAAAACTGTAAATTAAGAAAAATCAAATCAATTCCCTATCGACCCATGAGGGAAGATGAGGGAAAGAAAATTTTTTTGAGAGGCGGCTAGGGTTTGAAAGAATAGAGAGAAAGGAGAAGGGGAGCAGTTCAGAGGTATATATACTCTCCTTCTTCGATGTAAATTATTT